GGACAGCACAGAACCACAGAATCAATGGGGTGGGAGAAGACCTCTGAGGTCATCGAGTCTAGCCTTTGCAATGTAAAGGTGTAAAATTGGACCAGAGCACTAAGTAGCACGTCCGGACGATTCTTGAATCCGGGACGGTGACCGTACCACCTCCTCGGGCAGTCCATCCCAATGTTAAACAACCCTTTCTGCGAAGAAATTCCTCCTAGTGTCCAACCTGGACCATCGCTGGCACAGCCTGAGGCAATGTCCCCTTCCCCTTCTCCTTCCGCTGGTTGTCCGGGAGAAGAGGCCGCCCCCCACCTGCCTGCAGCCTCCTTTCGGGGTGCTGTAGGGACCGCGACTCGACAGCGAAAGCCCCAGCCCGCTCCAGCCCCGCCAGAGGCCACTCAGTGTGGGCCCATGAAACGCACCGAGAGGACGGGCGATGAATAATTTAATAGGATTAGTTATTCTGACCGGGCTTGTGAGCCGCCCCGCTGGCACAATGCGGCGCAGATTCCTGGCGCCGCTCCCGCCTGGAGTCATTGCTGGTGGCACACGGGCAGAGCCCGGGGAATTCCCTGGCACGGAGGGGCGTGCAGCAGCCAGGCACCGGCCGTGTCCCTGCTCCCGCCGCCGTGGGGCTGCCCCCGGGAGCGTGCTCCGCTGCTCTGTCAGCTCCGCAGCTCTGTAATGGGAATGACAGGCCGTCTCCTCACACGCAGGGAGCTAATGGAATTCACTATACATTATAGATACATCGCTCTGGGGAAAAAAAATATAAAAAAAATCAAATCTTTAATCCACTCTTCTTAACAAATGTGAACACGCGGTTGTCCAAGCCCTTGTCAATTATTTGCCCAGACATAATATTTATTTATTTGTGTCTCTGTCAAAGAGATAGATGCTCCAGCTCCCCACTCCTTTGGTTATTTCAAACCTTAAAAATGCTTTGGTACCTTCGGTCTAGCAACCTAGGGGAGGCATCCATACACCAGCACTTCTGTGCCTACTGCTATATTCGCCCCTTTAGCAAACACCTCCCTCTCTGCTTCAATCTTCCCATCTTTGTGGTTGCCTTGTCTGATCTTTTTCACCGTTGCTCTGCTCTGTCACACACTCTCTGTTCTACAAATAAAAGACTGAGTGATATTAGATTATGACAGATCATCTCTCTGCTGCACCCCTGAACTGCACACAGGAGCAGAGACAGTCCCAAAACTGTAGATAGATGAGTCAGTGCACAAGCAAGTTTGTACCAGCTTACAGCAAGAAATGGGGGTTGATGGGGCATGTTAATAAAAAGTATATGCCAAACTAAAATTACTGCTGCCTGCAATATTTTATTCATTCTTCCAAAATTATTATAAAACTACTATTTTTTTTTCTTGTTTGTTTATGCCTCATAAAGTTACTCCCAGTTGCCCCTTGTAATGCGTATTAATTTTCTTAAATGACAGAGTGGAGTAGTTTTCTTTTAATGACAGAACAGTACACATTATACACTTTGCTTACTCTATCAAATACAGAATTTTAAATAATAATTTTTAAGTAACATACAGACATGTAACAACCATTCATGACCTAGAGTATTATTAGACAAACAGTGCATCTATCAGTGCTGAAAAAAATGCAGTAATGTACATCAACTATTTTTCTTCTGTGTTTTGTAAGTAGGATTGTATACTTCTGTTATGAAAATATTATCAAGCATGTTCCACCCCCCTCATGAGTGGAGAAATTTGGGGTTTTTTTAGTATACATACCTGTCCTTTAAAAAAATCTCGTTTACTGATGTAAAGGTTTAACAGATTTTGTAATACCAAAGAAACTCCAGAAGCTTCAAGCAGTGTTAACACTAAGTAGTATTCAAAAATGTGAAGTAAGGCCATAACAACAGATAATTGAGCTATTGTCTTTCTTATGCCACTACGATCTAAAGTATCATCCCATTCCTGAGCAAAATAGAAAAGCCAGCGAAGGAATACATTTATTAACAAGGACAGATTGAATGACAATGGAAGACAACGTATCTCAGTCAATCCTGAGTAACTGGTTTATTCTGTTACTTTTACTTTTTAAAAATTTTTAAAAGTTAAAAATTGACACCTTTGTGAATCATATGACTGTATCATGACAAAAGAAGAGTACACTTTCTAGGGGCGTAACAACATGTTAAGCCAAAAGCAGAAATCAGTGAGAAATTGTGAGAAAGTCTTAATATTTTTAGTGAAAACCTATAGAACCAGCTCCCTATTGTGGCTATTAAATATTTTAGTGCTCTGCAAGTTGAATTTCCCTATCCTCCTGTATTAAGATCGCGCCAGCAGTCACTGGGCTTGTCAGTGAACCATTCTAATTAATAATCTGGTGAAGATTAATGCTAGTTTGAAAAAAAAAAATAAATAAATCACAAACACACCACATCAGAGCAGTGGCTGGCTTTCTGCTGGTTAGTGAGGTATCCTGGCTTAGCAAAGGTTCTGATGAGCATCAGCAAGGGGTGGAAGAAGTGACACCTCCTTCTCTGGAATGGACAGCTGTTGACTCTACTCTGAAGATGAAGGACTTGGAAATACAAGAGATACAATCTCCTGTGTCTCAGCAAGACTCGGTAATCTGAGTGGACCAGCACTACAGTCATAGGAATTAGAAAGTTGCAACTACCCTGACACCACGATTTACCATTGCACAAAAAGTAAGTTGGAAAACCATTTTTCTTTCCCAACAGGACCTCTAAATGCAATTCTCTAAAATGTCATTGCTAGAACACGATGAAAAATTCAGAGAGGTTCAAAACTGACTGAAAAGCTTATACCTCTTCACATGAACAATTTCTGTATTCCTGCTGTAAGTTTTAGTAAATAAATCTGTTTTCAGCTTACCTCTTTATCACCACGTAAGTTTGCCAGCACTAGGTACTAAAATAGTCTTAAAGACAGGACACAGTTCTGGTCTAAGTCCAAGTTCTTCAGTTGAATGAGTATCAAATCTGTGACTGGTTTTTGAGCAGTAGTTTTTGAGTCTGCTTATTACACTGGTAACCTTGTCAGGTCTGCAAACATTATTTCAAATTCATTTATGTACACAGACACTTCATTATTATCACTACTAGATGATTACAGAAGAGCAGAATCTGTTGAAAACATGCCATTTCTGTTATTTCTCCAATTCACTAATCTTTTAGGAGCATGAACTAGATCATTCATATGCATCACCAACACTGCAGCAAGAAGACAAAAAAAGAAGCAGAGACTTATTTTTGCGAAACAATAAAAAAAGTTTATTTTCTAAGAAAAACCCAAACAAAAAAACACCCAATCAAACCAAACCCCCCCCGCCCAAAACCCCAAACCTACAGAAATAAAACTACTTTGTCAATTTGAACGCAAAAATATTATTAAGGCATTTTAATTCACTAGCACAAGCCACATTACCAGACAAAGAATGCAGACAGTCGTTAGGATTGGAAGGGACCTCGGGAGATGATTTAGTCCAGCCCCCTAGCCAAGGCAGGGTTATCAAACGCGAATGACCCAGGAGAGCATCCAGCCAGGTTTTGAATCAGCTTGTCTCCTCTGGAGAAGGAGACTTCATGACCTCCATGAGCCTGTGCTCCAAGTGCTCTGCCACCTTCAGTGTCAAGAAACTCTTCCTCAAATTCAATTCCTAGCGAAAAGAGAACACATCAATAGGGCACAGATGCACACTGGTACAGTTTGCAGCAGCACAACAGCTACAGAAGCAGCAAACTCTGCCACTTCCTGACAGCTTCAAGTCAGCATGCCCGAAGCTGCGATTTTGTTCGCAGAGAGAAAATTAGCGGCAAGCACTCACCTTTGTGCAAACCACGCTCTACGCAGTTCTGGAAAATTATTTCACTAACAAAACTTCACTTTCACACCCAAAATAACTTCAGCAATGTTATTCTTCATGAACACCACAGGGACCTCCTCAGACAGCAAGCCGCATTGATCCCGAGCACGTTTCCGTACCCCAAAACCCCGGGCTGATTTGGAAGCGAGCACACCCCGCAGTTTTTATTCCCGACAGGCCTGCTGGGCCCGAAACCCGCCCCGCGCTCCGCTCCGCCCTCCCCG